GAGCTGAAGGTGCAGTCCTTCCTCCCCAGCGGCAGTGTGTGTCCCAGGGAGCTGAAGGTACAGTACTTCCTCCCCAGCGGCAGTGTGTAACCCAGGGAGCTGAAGGTGCCGTCCTTCCTCCCCAGCAGCAGTGTGTACCCCAGGGAGCTGAAGGTGCCGTCCTTCCTCCCCAGCGGCAGTGTGTACCCCAGGGAGCTGAAGGTGCCGTCCTTCCTCCCCAGCGGCAGAGTGTCCTGCAGGGAGCAGAGACCGTCAGTCTCGCACCCCAACCACAGGACAAAATAATGAAAGGGAGACAGCTGGTCCCCCTCTCCACCAGCAGAGAGAGTGTCAGGGAGAGGAGCCTGATACCCCCTCTCCCCAGCGGCAGTTTACAGTTCAGAGAGAGGAGCTTGTTACACCCTCTCTCCAGCGGCAGCCTAACCCAGCAAGGGGAGATGTTACACCCCCAACAGTGCAGATGGGACTGTAGTCTCTGCACTTACAGCACAAGGGGTAGGGACAGTCGGTCCTGTTCCCCAGCCACAGAGCGGTGTATCCAGAGGGGAGACAGTCGGTCTCTCCCTCCCACAACCAGGCTCCCACCAGGCTACTTCCGTGGTAGCACTGGCATCAGGGCAGAGTACCGCTGGTCTCTGCCCACTCAGCAACCCACCAAGGCAGCCTAACAGTTGCCCACACAGTCGTGGTGAGGCACCTGGACATGGACAAAGTTCTCCTCTACCCAGGTGTAGTAACCAGTTATTGTGGGTGGGCTGTACTGCTGTTTCTGTTTTGTGGGTGGGTTGCTGGACTAACCAGGGCACTGACCGGCAGGAGGTCAGATACCCTGTTAGTCTAGTTGGTAAAGGGGAGAAGTGTGGCGAAACCAACCTCGCCACTGTGAACTGGAGAAGCCTGGTTGCTCGCCTGCTCCCTTTGGACTATGGCCCTGCAGGTTAAACCGTTTATTTCCCCTGCAGAAAGGCTTATTTGTGTGATCTGAGTGCCATTCATCTAATAATGTGCACTCAGATCCCAGCTATCTGGGGATATGTGAAATGTCTGTGTGTTATGTGTAAATGTGACTTTATGTATTTTAAAGTGTTTTGTGTCTTTTTGCAACCATGTGCTTAATGGAGTCTTGTGTCTATCCTGGGAGATAATTGAATTACTCTCCAGGATAGAAGACTCTGAAACTGGTTTGGGCCAGAAAGCCATGCTTCATTTAGTCACAAAGGACTTTTACTAACTTTTGAACCCCTTGTCTGATTTGTGCCATTTTTGAATATGTTGTTCCCCTGAATGGATTGATTGTGAATATGTAATTTTATGTGAATGTGATGTATGGTTTTGGAGTTATGAAAGTTGGGTAGAAGTATGTTTTAACTGTATGTATAATTGAGTTTCCTCTCAGGATAAGGGGAGGGAATATGTGGGATGTAACTGATATGTGATTGGTTGTTTTGTAACGCCCTGTGGGCTGTACTATGTTTGTGATTTGGGAATAAAAGAGACTGTATGTGACAGTACAGAGAGTTCCTGTTTAACCCTCAAAGTGAAGTGTCGTCTCATTATTGGGGGAAGGATTTATTGTATGCTGTTCCAGTTTGACTGCTAGGAGAGTAAACCTATTCGTATGGTTCCTATTCAACTGTCTACAGCATTCATATGCTTGAGAGGATTCATATGCTTCTCCGGTTCAGTGGTTGTGGTGTCTGCTGCAGTGCTTGGAGTCCTCGGGAAGCGCTAGGAGCATCTTTCAACGGAGGTACCCAGTCGGGGTGCCAGGCGATCCGTTACACCTCTCAGTAAAGTAATACTTCCTGATATTATTTTTAAACCAACCTTTGTCCCTCTAATTTAAGACTATGTCCTCTTGTTGTGGTAGTTTTTCTTCTTTTAAATATAGTCTCCTTCTTTACTGTGTTGATTCCATTTATGTATTTAAATGTTTCTATCATATCCCCCCTGTCTCGTCTTTTTTTCAAGCTATACAAGATCCTTTAACCTTTCCTGGTAAGTTTTATCCCGCAATCCATGAACCAGTTTAGTAGCCCTTCTCTGAACTCTCTCTAAGGTATCAATATCCTTCTGAAGATACGGTCTCCAGTACTGTGTACAATACTCCAAGTGAGGTCTACTATCGCCTGTACTTGTTCTGGCCTTACCATTCGTAGAGCAGTATTTTGGCCTACCAAATAACGCTGAAGGTTCTGTCACGTACTCGCACAGGAGGAAGGTGTTTCAGTTGTGCGTGTAGCTGGCACAGATCAACCACGTCCTCTCCTTGCAACAGGGATTCCACCAACACCAGAAGCACCACGACCAGGACTACGTCCCTTATTTGACGCTCTCCTCATTCTTTGCATTCACCCATCAGGCGACAATGTAACCGCCAACAGTCAACAATTTTTTTTTTTTTTTTAGTTTATTGGACTGCAAGAAATGCAACGCAGGCCGCAAATGTACTATTTAGCACCCAAAATTTTTTTTATTTTTTTACAACTGCGCAGTAAGCGCACTATTAGACGCTTCTATTTTACTCTTAGATATGAAGAGCACGCCCAAAATGTACTATTTAGGAGATTAGCACCCAGAAAATAAGAATTTTTACACACTATTAGACGCTTCGATTTGACTCTCAGATATGAAGAGCAGGCCCCAAAATTTACTATTTAGCAGATTAGTAGCAAAACAATTAGAATGTTTACCACTGCGATGTAAGCGCACTATTAGACGCTTCTATTTGACTCTCAGATATGAAGTGCACCCCACTAAAATACTATTTAGCAGTTTAGCACCCAAAAATTTTTAAGTTTTAAAACTGCAATGTGACAGCAGTATTTGACGCTTCTATTTGACTCTCAGATATGAAGTACACCCCACTAATGTACTTTTTAGTACCCAAAATTTTTTTACTTTTTCAAACTTTGATGTAACCATGGTATTTGAAGCTTCTATTTGACTCTCAAATATGTATTGCATCCCACTAATGTACTAGTTTGCAGAATTCTTTCCTAAGTTGTCCCTCACAGCGGCAGCATCCTCTTCCTACACTAATAAAACCTCATGTGCGTGCGGCGCTACGTGACTCCAGCTTATATATAGAGGCATGGCTGTGATGGCTTCTAAGGGTACACAAGTCAAACGCTTGTTGATTGGCTGCCCTGCAGCCTTTGAAAAAGCACCAAACTCCAACCCGAACAAACAGTGATATATCCGTGTTCGGGTCCGGGGTCCAAAAAACATAATGTTTGGTACGAACCCGAACTTTATAGTTCGGGTTCACTCAACTCTAGTAGTTACCATTACTGACACTCTAACTGAGAAGATTAACTTATAAAGTTATCCTGTTACAAACCGTGCCTTTAGCTACATACTATTGGCTTAGAGCTCCCCTACTGGAATAGGTTTAGTTTGAATTAGCCAGATATATAGAAATAACTTTTCAATTGACTTTATGTTTAAATGGTTTCTGATTGTGTCTGCTGCCAAATATACACAGTGGTGATTCATTCACTTTGTATGTGTTTATTTCATTGTTTTAAATGAATTATTAAATAAAAGTCACTGTCAGCAGAGGCTCTCAGGAAGCCTAATTCACACTTCCTGATGTCGAGGAACCACTTCTCAATACTGGTCAGTGTCCTACAGCCCCAGGACTCCTCTTAAGTATCATAAAAACTTTTTTTATTGTTTTCCTTACCTTTTGGGCCATGTCCTATGAATTATACTCCTCCTATTTTAACTTGCCATTACTTGTATTGATTTTCATTTCTTCCTTGTGCCTAATCTCAAAATCTGTGCGCCACCATTCAGTGGCGGATCCAGGGGGGGGGCAACGGGGCAATTGCCCCCCCCGAGAATTCCGCCGGTCTCCCTCCCCTGCCAGCCCTGCAATGTGCCTGTGGACCGGAAGGGAGATCACAGATCTCCCTCCCCGGTCCGCAGGCACTGTGCTGGCGGCCGGCGGCGGAGGGAGGGAGTGAGAGGGAGGACCCGGAGCTCAGGCTGCAGCTCCTCCGGGTCCTCCTCTTGTGAGATTTGAAGCGTTGCCGCGGTTACCACGGCAACGCTCCAAATCTCGCGAGAGTGAACTCTAGCCCGGGAGCGCGGGCTAGAGTTCACTGTGACCACTGGGACCACCAGGGAATCACCACTGGGACCACCAGGGATCGAAATATGTCCCCCCTCCTCCCCAGTAAAGGTAAGAAGGGAGGGGGGACATAGGATAATATTTATTTTAATTAAATAAAAAAAATATATATATATATAATAAAAAAAATCCACACACACACATATATATTGCCC